AAAAAAAGAACAAACAACAGATGTATTATTGTTGTAGAAAAATAGTTCACTCATATCAAATGCCAATTTGCAGTAAGTTTTTTTCTTCTTTGAAAGCCATTGAACAGTTTCCAGAAGGTTTCCTCCATTCAACAACCTAAACTTCTTGAAAGAAAAGCAAAATTTTCAACAGTATACTTTAGCCGGCAAATTACTGTTGCTATCAATTTTGATAACAGTGCTGTAGTTTGGTTAAAATGTTTAATGTAAACAATGCTTTATCTTAGACGTTTAAAAACAACTATTAGATGCCATATTTGATAAAAATTGTTCAATTGTTCCAAACAAGAAACTCCTAAAATACAATTCTGCATATTTGTTATGAAAAAATACTAAGTTTGCCTGTTACAGATAACAATATTTGCTTAAGTGACCAACAATTACACACAGTTAGCTATCAGTGGTTTAAAGTGTCCATATATTTTTTGGCACAATTTCCACAAATACGTCAACAAATTACAATGTCATATTGTATAGACAGTTAAACTCTTTCGTTGTTGTTTTCATGAAAAAAATTATGAAAAAAATAGTTGATTAGAGAGTTTTTTTTTTTTTTTTTTACATGTTAAACCATTGCTTTGGATGACAACAATTTTATAGCACTGATAAAGTTTAAAGAACAATCAGAAAAGAGAAAAAAAAAACAAACAAACAAACAACACAGAATATTGCCAATATTTACACTGCTATCGGTTGGTTTAAAATAAAATCATTACAAAATTTTTACTGATTATTGGTATTGAACAATATCAGCTTTACAGTCTTTTCGTTAGAACTAAACTAAAATTGTAGTTTATACAAAATGACTAACGTTCAAAAGTCAAATCTTAAAATATTTAGCAGTTAATTGCCAATTACATCTGATAACAGCAGAAATGTACAAAAAACAAACTTCTGCCAGAAAAAGCTGTATTATTTTGTTGAACTACCGTTTGATCAAAGAACATCATAGAAACGATAAAATATGTAAACTGAAAACACTGAATTCCCTACTTATAGTCTATCAGATTGGAATAGCTGCCATAAAATGAGAACAAAAAAAAAAAAGAAAATCAAACTTGTATTACCAGTTAAAAATTTCAATTAGTAAAATAGTACAATAAAGTACCAGTTAGAAGTCTTTTTCTTTTCTTTCATTGATGACTGCAACCATTTTGCAATACCTATAATAATTTGCTTTCTTAGAAGCTATTTAAAATGTTGAAAAAATAAGAATCCTTTTCTTTTTGAATAAGTCAATTAATAATAATAAGCGTAAAACACGTTATACGAATAGAGAAGAAAACTGGTAAGAATTTCTTTCCGCTTTTTTTTTTTT